GTGCAATGCGCTTAACTGGATGCACAATAACTTAATCAGATATTTTGATTTATGATTTCTTGAAAGTGTTGTAAGGTGTTTTTTTTGTTGTTTATAATTTGAACAATCAGATTTATAATTTAAAATGTTATCTTCATTTACGGTCTTATCATCATTATAGAGATCAGTACAAATAAAAGTTCATTTTTTCAAAAAAAAATCATTTTCACTCAAACAAATTTCTGGTTGCAAAATATTCTCAGATGGCGTCATCTAGCATTCGTTCAAAATTCACTGACATACTTGCATAAAACAAACCGATTTAGTTATCCTTATCTATAACACTCTATCAATGACTCATTCTTTAATGCAACATCGCTCATCACTAACCATTACTCAACTATCAATTTCAAAACTGCATCAAACAATAACTCACTATCAGTCAGTGGCATTCATACACCATTCGATTTCAAACGAAACTTTTCCCGCAGAACAGACTTCCATTCCAAGACGTGCCTATTATTGGCTGCATCCTGTTACTAACGCTACAGTATTAACAGTTTCGGTAAGAGCATCCAACCGGAAATTGGCATAAATTCGTCGATTCGAGACACGCCAGCAAAGAGAAAACTGCTTGAAACCGAATGATGTACCATGCTTGAGTCAGTCCTACCTGGTTCACGACAAACTGTCTATTCAGAAAATAATTCAGTTAAACGCCAACTATAACTCAATCGATCGGTTTCGTGCTTGTTATCGTTATCAGTAAGGTCACTCACAGTAACATCTGTACATTATCACATACGTATTTTTCTCATAGATCGTTCGCACTGCATCATAACACAAAACCAATTTCGTTCTTCATAAACACATTTAAGTACAAAGAGAAAATCAACGCCTTCCATCACCTTACTGGATAAGGATAATACCTTCAAGCAAAGGCATCCAACCTACTAATAGATACCTAAAAATGTCGTTGAAAATGATTCAAAGGAAATTATCAAATGATTGAAATAAATATCGTCAAGAACAAAATACAAGAAAAAAAAGAACTATTTGAAAATAAAGTAACAAAATTTCCAATTCAACAGAGCATAGAATTGAATGGAGATAATAAATTGAAACAATAATATTAACGATAACATTAGCAGCAGTGACAATAGTTATAATGACAATAGTAACGACGATAATAATAACAATAATAACATGTTTGTTAAATGGTAGAATTATGTCTAGCACATGAACAAATCTACGTCTTATTTGAAACTACAACTCAGAAGTAAGATATGATGGAATTTGTGAGATATGATTAAAATTTGTGAATCAATTATTTAATCATGGGCGATGAAAAAGTTGAATAAATATCCGATTCTATTCACACCCTCATTTATTGATGAATGAACAACTTACATAAATTCAAATGACTCAATCCAGTTGGATTTTCTTTACTTCGACCATGCAAGAAGCTGAATGAAGAAGAATGCTGTCGTTCGCCGACATCTTCTAATAATTTCTCAGAAGCTCGTTGTTTGCGAGAATCAGCAACTGGAAGTGATGCTGAGGTAGTTGTGATAGGTGTTGAAGTAGTGAAATTATTAGTGGTAAACGTAGTGGTATTGGTCAAGGAATGAAGTTCTTGGTCATTTCGTGATGGATTAGAAGCAGATTGGTGAGAATACTCCTCTGATTTATTGTTCATGCTGCGTTGCGGTTCCATCTAAGGTACCCGATAGCTGACATATGTGACACTAGAGGGAGTGGAAAGTTTATGTGCATGTATGTGTCTTGTGTAGCATAAATATATGTACATGTTCTGTATGATTATTGACGCATGAGCTTTTTGTGAGTTATAAGCATTACCGACGTTCGGTTACGCGATGAGAAGAATAATCAACTGCTCTGATACAATGTGTATTATCACATCACCATACAGGATAATAAAAGGGAGTGATCGTTGTGGTGAGTGTTTGTGTTTACGTTCTTGTTTGTGCTATATTCTGTATTAGAATATTTGCTGATTGCATCCATATTAACATTTATTGTTTGTCATTGTATAAAGATATGCATATACGTATACGTTGTAAATGCTTAAATCATTATATCTTAATCAGTCTTATACTATCTTAATTACTCTCTACTCTTATACATTCGTTCACTTATTTATTCACTCATTCTGAGATTCCCGTAACTTTCGCAATCTATTTGTTTGGGCTCACCAGTTGTACTCATCCGTACCCAAATAACCACTTTCAATAAGTGAGTGCACTTCGCAGCATACAAAATTTCGTTATTTCCATCGTGTTATCAATCGAACTGCAGTATTCTCTTCCCCTTTAGCACGACCGCACTAAAACTGCTCAACAACCAATTATTATACTTAAATACACAACTAGCTGCTCTTTGACCATATCCATTCCCACAATTATGCTTTCTTTAACCTTACAACAGCCATATGTAATCAGCATGCGTAACATCAGATTGCATCTCGGTTTTATTCAAGATAAGTTTGCAATTTCAACAGATGATAAATAAAACTGCTTTTGTAGAATTATTGATTCAAAGTAATGAGATTGAAAAATCTTTGAATTTGTATGAACAAGTCAACAAACTGAATAATGTATTATTGAATGAATACACAGTATGTAAACTCATAAAACTCGATGTGTTTACTGCAACACTCATCAGATTTTACTGATACATGCATGAGTGCATTCAAATATCTATTCAGGAATGCATTTAATAATTCGTTTATTCATGAATACATACTCACACAAATCGTAGTATCACTCATAATTTGCATTCAATGCGTTCATTCAGCATGCTACAAAACGTTTTAAAAAGTCAAAATTTTGTGCCCAACCAACAATCTCGGTGTGTAAAATTTCCACTTCGAAAATTATGCTCAGAATAACAACCTCAAAATTCCCACAATTGAACAATTCACAAAAGGAAATGAAAATATTTTGTGAGCATGCACTGCAGAAATAATGACCACATTGAGTTTGTTTTTATTTTACTAACAATAAGAGTAATGGCATACTAAAAGCATCTGCGATTACTATTATTATTGTTGTGTTACTGTTATTAGTCAACGAGTGAACAGGTAAGTGAGACTATCATTCACCTCTGTCACTGATATTTGTGCTTACGTTATGAAAATAATGTGAACGGAAAGATGAAAAGGATATGTAATGGCGAAAAATTATAATACAGAACAGTCAACTGCTTGTGAGAAAACATGGATTGAGACTAGTAAGCTATTTGGACGCTGAGCGGTTGGTTTGCCGATTGCCTACAGTCTCATTACGATCACCTATTAAAAAACCAAAAAAATCGCAAAACTAAAAAAAAACAAGAAATAAGAAGCAGGAATGTACCTACAACTTGACAACGCTGTGAGAAGTGAAGTAGAATATCACGACTGCTTGAATATGTTACAGTTGCATGAGAAAAAAGCTTTTCCCAGCATTTGGGAACGAACTATCGCGCATTAATACTTAATCCTACACGCTACCCACTAATCCAACTCGTCGCCGTCATGCTAACATTCAAAACGTTACTTCAATGCACTGAAAACCTTTTTTCCGCCATATCTCACGTCCTCTTTGTGTTTCGCAAAAATGTTTTGCACATCCATGATCAGCTCAAGGAGTTCTACGATGTGACATATATCTCATCCTGAAACGTTGGGTTCCGTTCGTGACCCTTCCTTGTTAGCATAATCGCATAGAATAACCTCAAAATTCCCACAATTAAACAATTCACAAAAGGAAATGAAAATATTTTGTGAGTAGATGTGATGCAGTGGGAGATGAGAAATTCAATCGCATTACTCCTACAGTATTGACTCGTTCAACTTATTTCATCTGTTACGGCTAACGATTCATGAATTTGTTACTGCTGTTGCGGCAGTAAGGAACTCATGACTCGTTCAATCATTTACTTCACAAATCATTTTATTGGCTAAAATGAGATAGAGTTTCACAGAAATAAATTTTTTAAAAAGAATTCATAAAGCAACAATGCTCAAAAGAATGAATCAAAATTGTATGAATGTAGGAACTGATGAAAGCTACGTAATATACATATGAAAACGGTAATGATGACGGTATTCCTAGTAATGTGAACTGAGAAGGTACTTATGAAATGAAAATTTTGCAGCAGAATTTACTGAGCTGAAAACGAACATAAGTTAATGCCTTGAATGGATAATATGTGAACTGATTTGAAATGAGGAAATGAAAATTTGTACAAAAATTCTGACAAAAACGATGAAAACGATTCTATGATGCAAACATATTGTGATTAAGAGATGAAATAAATTTGCAAAATTCACAGAGAACTCAACAAAAACACCAACTTTTTCGAGATTGTAGCATCTTTTTTGGGTGTTATAGATGGGTATGGAAGTGGACGATTGAATGATGATACTTAAATGATTTACAGACTGAAACGAATAATCAATACTAGTAGTACAATGTCGCGAATTCATCGATAATATTCTCTTCTTTTTTTTGCGTCGGTGTTTATTTGTTTCAGTTTCAGTTTTGGTGTAATAAAAACGATAATTATTCACACTGCGTTTCATCCGCATTTTCTATTCGTCTTTCAAGAAAACAAAATCAAATACGACAGAATTTTAAGCATTCATTTCAAATTCACTACTACCAAATTCATAATGAAGGCGAAAAACGAAATCTTATTCTAAGTAATCATTTCGTTTGTTTCTGCTTAAATATACTACGCTCTCACATAACTGATCATATGTGCACAATACATTTGCAAAATTCCAAAAACAGAGAATGCCAGTAGCCGGATGAATAATACCACGATGAGACCATTTCGGAGACATACATCAGTTTCAAAAGTTCGACACGCCGAGATGCGATGAGGTAAGTTCGAAAAAATGGTAGGAGAAGTGAACTGATTATAACTCATGAGTATGGAACGAGGGAATGGATCATGAAAATGATACTGCTAAGTTTATCACAAACAACAAGAGAGTTACTAATGAAAGCGAACTAGTTTATTTCAAGAAAAAAAAACTTCAAAAAAAACCTACCGCCAATTCGAAGGACAAGTCGTTCGGTGCGATCAAGTTTTAGAACACTTATTGGTTTCGATTTCATCCAATTATCCCATTCATCTCGTTCGTTCGCATTCTTTACATCACCATTACTCTTTGTTGCATTGCTATCAGCATCATTCCTTTTAACACTAGTATCTAAGGATGTTGTTTCGTCGATGTATTTGCGTCGTTCACTTCTTTTGAAACCTTCTCTATCACCAATATCTTTCGTAAGCTCATTTTTTTCCACGTACTGATCAGCATTTTGCTTTTCTTGATGCTCAAATGAAGACATCCGATCACGAATTAAGTGAACACTGAAAGTTGCAAATTTGCATCAAAATGTCTTAATTTACACCATTATTCCTTAGTTTCAATAGATAGAAGAATGCAAACAACGATTTTTTTTCGGTCAATTTTCATCTGAACATATAGCACAAATGTAAATTTTTAAAATGACAATCTCTATTCATTTGCATCGTCCTAGGCCTATTCAATTTCAAATATATCTTCACTTCTGTATCGCATAACAACTTAGGAAATACTAGTTCGCTTCAAACTGTAGCATCGTGTAATTGAATGAAGCCAATATTGCACACAGGTATCGCTTTGTAACGGCCAACTTTGACGAAACAAAATGAACTGTTGAATGGTGGTTGGCGGTCACAATGAATCTGTTGTTATCAACGAATATAACTCTTTCATTATACCGTGTAATGATGAAATGTATCATTCATTTAATTAATGATTACTAGTAACTACGTACAGTCTATTATTTCATCTGTGCTTCATTATCTCATTTCATCGTTGATTGTGTAATGACCCACTATATTTCAATGATTGTAAAGCATGTAAAATTAGTGAAGATAATAAACACAACAGTAACAGTAATACTATTATTGATAACAGTTATGATAACCATCATAATAACAATACAATGAATTGGATCACTGCTGTAATATTTCCCACTGATATAATGCCCAATATTTATAACGCTGCCCAATATCAACTGCCCAGTATTTATAACGATGATATTGATAGTGGAGAGTATAATGAATAACATCAAATACTTCCGTTCCATTGCATACCGTCATGAACGGAAATGCAGTTACTCATCGCCAAATGAATTATTCATCTATCATTAAAAAGTGAGAATCTATGGCTGATCACTCTAATAGATTAAGAGATAATCGATATTGAGCGATTGATCTCATCACTAGCGAACAGAATCGTTTCAATTAGTATGTATATGAAATAAATCACGTGTTACAACTATATCAGAAAACATTTGCGTACTGAGAGGGTAGATTATGCGTATGAATCCTTTCAAGTCCGAAAAGTATAGCTGATAAAAGTTTTCGCTGATGCTGTATTTTTCGACTGTATTTGAACGACTAAAACTGGACACTTCATCAGGAAAATTTCCCTCCTCTCTTAAAAAATTCCTTCTTGTGATAGAAAATAAAATGAAAATAAAGAGAAGAAATTTTACTTTGGTTCAGAATATTGACGACCTTGTGCTGAGACATTGGACGGACAGTACAACGATCCTCCAAGAGGACTATTGCAAGCACTTCTGCGTAAGTTATGCTCGCTGTTTCGTAATGCGCATTCATATAAACGCCTATAATATTTAGTAATATCACTCAGATTTTCCATATCATTTCTTATTAACAAGTTTCCTTCAGCAGTATGTTTTCAATAATTTTTTCAATGATTTGCAGTGTTGTTTATATCGTTGACAATAATAAAACTAAATGAAGAGTCAGCTTATGTTAGGATATCGATATTACATCTCAAGAACTGATAACACGAAGCAAGCGCGATCAGTTCACAGGGAAAATTTATCCAAACGAATTAGCGAAAACATCAAACATGCATATAGTGAACAACGATACCTTCTGCGTGTATTCTGTTCCTGCTTATAATATCTTAATTGATCACCGGAGTTTGAAGTATTCACTGGATTTGTTTCATTTCTGGCCACTTTAGATGGACCAACCGTCCAAAAATGAACGTCGGTAGCCGTGAATAAGAAACGTTGAGTGACACCAACACTAGCTGGTTGCGTTGTTTGTGATGAAATAATATGTCCACCTGTCAGCGCATTCTCATGTTCCATTATTCCAATGTGCAAAACAGAAAACAATCGAAATATGTTTTAGTCCACAATAAATTCGGTTCGAATGAGTAGGATCAATTAAGTGATCAACACCAGAACATCATTGATTCTTGTTTTTACCTAAAATTGAAACAGTAAATGCCTACATGTTAATCTCGAAGAAGAATTCAACAACTTATTCGCTGAATTCAACTTAATACATTCAGTAGTCGAATACATGAAATATCCAGTAAACAACACTGAAACATCAAAACCATCATAATTCAAGTTTTTCCTACACGTGACCGTGCGTTTATTGTGAATCGATCCGATAGTAATTCTCGTTTAAGTATAGGACTTGAATGATATGTTCACGATAGACATTTTGAAACAAGTTTAAGCTCAGGCTTAATAAGTTCAAGCTCGATTTATTGCAGTGTGCTTTTCAATAACGTAACCTAATCCTACGGTGAGTCGGTGAACGATAAATTTAATTCACTTGAATACATGCATTGTCTCTTGGAAAGCAATTTCATGTGTATATATGCAAATTGAACGAAAGCTTTGAACCCACACACACAAATGAAATGTGAACTTCTACGTGAACGTACCAGCTATTTTGTTCTAATGGCCGCCCAATGCACTGCTATTGGTGTTGCGACTCTACAAAGTATCATTCAAATCTACAAAGCACTCATTGAATGTTACTTTATTGCAGGTAGATTATCGAAATGTGCTTTTTGAATCTGACGAAGAATTGAGCAAACGCGTAAATAAATTACATACACGTCCGGTATTATTAATGCGAACAAACACAAAAGTGTGTGGCATTGTTAATCCGATCTAAGCGTATCGCATAGCATCATCATCAACTCATATTCACCAAGGTTACTCAACAATCATCCACAAATCGCTACCTGTACTCACTTACAGAACATTTTACTATTATCTTTAATAAGTAAATATAAATATGCACATTTCTTGTTTACAGCGTAAAACTATTCACATTGTTATCGAATCATTTAATTACAAGAGGTTGTCCAAAAGTTAGTTCTTCAACACTGATAAATTCATTCCAACTGTAAGATCATATGTGTGACCAGGATGGTGACGAAGGCATCAAAAATAAATTTTGTGGTAATTTTGAATGTTTCACCGAAGACATAAACAGTATGGCATACACCTCAATAAGGTACTCGAAGTATAAAAAAGAAAATAGTGTACTCTTTGATACTATCGAACCGTTTACCTGAGCATCTTTACAACACAATCAACAACAGATAAACTTTTTTTAGTGACAGTAGCAAGACGCTGTAGCAGAACCATATGAAAGCTTCTTATATAAGACATGCCTCCCTTCCGATGAGACTAGGGATAGATGTTGTAGAGCCAAGCTGTGATAATGTGATTTAGTAAACGATGCACATTTTGTATCTGATGAACAAAACGTTGACAGGCATACTTTCTAATGTAGCGATTTTCGAAGAAATTCATTGCGTGCTTTTATTGACGGTTTCGTGTCATGTTCTTAATTGCTGATCGAGTACCGAACACAGTACCCCAGAGCATACTTCCGCGAATAAGGAAAGCATACCAGCACTGGCATCCGTATGGATGAAACAAATAACAAACACAAAGAGATACATCCTTTGATCATAGTACATAAAGTTCTAGATGATAATGCCTATAATACGCATGATTGCAAAATGATTACAAAAAAAGGAACTAAACCAAAGGGCAATTCTGAAAATGTGTAACTGTGAATCAACGCTTCATAGGAAAACAAATTTTAAAATCCATCTCCTGCATGCACAGCGATTCACTCCGTTTGATTGATCTAACGTAAACGAAAAATCAATTTCAGTGGCAAAAAGTACGTAAGTTCCAGAAGTATAGAAGAATAATAGTACCGCAGCTACTATAAGTCGAACAAAATCTAGTCACAGATTGAACAATGATAGCAGGTAGTATTTAAAAGCCTAATTGCATTAATAGGTGTACGAATGGTAAACGGTGATCTAAAATCGATATTCGACAAAAAGATATGTTCAAATAAATTGGTTTTTGTATACGATGCACATATACATATATAAATATGAAGCTGAAGATGTGCACAAAGTAGCTGAGGTTACAACAAATGAATGATGAAAGAGGAACGCTTTTAATGATATCATAGTGTACTGCTCTGCAGTTGTTGTTCAGAGGATGATGACGATAAGTGAGTGAGAGTTTAGCTCTAAATAATATATATGTATATGTACTATATATCTGTATAGATATGGTGGATATATGCGATGGATTTAGTCGAAGCATTATTTCACTTGACTTATTCAGCACGGCTAAATAATGAACTGAACTATTGTATCATACCTGTTAATATCATCATTACTGTACAAATCGCTTGCAGAAAATTGTTCCGAAAACATCAATCAACTGGAAACAATGAACGCAGTTTATTCATTTTATAGCAACTATTCAAATAAATTAAGAATACGTATCAAATACGCACTCATTCGTTCATATGATGGTAATCTGAATCAAATATTCGTACATCTTATAATCCTGTTAATCCATTCCATCGTCTTCCCCAACCCACTAAAACTCTGTTGATTGTATTAACGAATCTGCTGATCATTCCCTCAGTCATTAACTCAATCATCAACCATTATGATTATTAGTAACCCACAATTTACCAACCAGACGCCAACTATCGCATTACCTAGCATCAAAACCGCATTCTTCCAAATCGCCAACTAAAATGCTGTCGAACTACGCGAGTTGATAAGTTCCACTCTTAACTGTAACAAACCATTCGATTACCATTTAGAGACAGCTGAAATCGTCTGAAGCTGAACTCTCGGGAATGACTACTTCGAGTATGTGAAAAGCATTGGATGGTGTTATTTTATCAGAAACTGAATTATAAAACGGTAAAACTCATAAATCATCCAAGAACATTCGTTTAGTATCGATTTGAGAAATGATTAAATGAGAAACCTCTGGAAAATTTTAATTTCACATTCATGATTCATCATATCATAATTATTGCGTCTACCTAATTGCACATTGAAAGCATCCAAACATAGACATAGCTTCCTTAACCACTATTTATGACTGGTAACCGTTATTTTTGTTTTTTTGGTTAACAAATTGATGGGTATTACTGTTAAACTTTTCTTCAATGGTGCCCACTTCTGGCTGTAAATATTTACAACAGCGATTTTGCATCGATGACATACTCTTATTATGATGTGAACAATAATCACGAGAATATCCGAAAATCAATACGAATTCGACAAAAACGCATCATTATATGCATAAGCACATATCGTGCATTCGTTAGCTTATATCCATACCAACATATGCAAACTGAGCTAGTCAATTGATCGTTTTCATAGATCAATTTGTTCAGCTGTAACTATCGATTTCTTTGAGCATACATTCGCCGAAAATTTATTTCAGTATTCAGTTGGACGTACATTCACGTATGCGCATGTTTTAGTTTTATTGTAGTGTATCAATTCAGCACATGAAACTGTTATTTGCATCAAATTATTACTGATACTAGAGCATTGAATATTGGATTGTAACTGTAATATAAACGAAGCAATATTTTAAAATTTTGCGATTCAAAGACGCACAAACAAATTTACTGAAACAATATATGATTGTTACTGCATTCACAGCTGGTAGGCATGAAATGAAACCTTAGTGGAGACGACTGAAACGACAAATAAGCTTTCGATAGGATGATAATAACCACAATAAGAATAATAATGGTTATAATCATTACAAGCAATGGACGAGTGAAACGAGAGAAGAAATATGTGAAGAAAATGAGGCGATTAAGGGGCGAGTTATTGTTGTTGCAGTCTTTTGTTGTTTTCGAGGAACGAACGGAAGGTAGATTATTCAAAGACGAAATCTGAAAATTTATTCAAACTGTAAAATTATTTCATTCTAATTACGCTATCCAAAAAAATACTCCTTGCGTTCATTTGATTGACTTTTTGGATCTTCGTAAGTGACCGCTAAAGAATAACGCATTGAATATCACATTTATGAATATTAAAATTCGTATTTCCACTATTGATTTTATCATTTCAACCACAACCTAATCGTTGCTGTTGATGTTAGAGCAATTAAAGTGTGCAGATGAAGATGACATATTACCAAGTCGACTAAATCCATGCCATAATGTCATGATCATGCAATAATAGCATGTATAAGAACCTAAATGCGTGCACACACACGCACAACACTGCACACCTAGACAGAAATTCACAAATCAACAGCACTTCAACGAACCACAATAACATCAATAACAACAACGACCAAAATCATGCATCAATTTTGAGTTAGAGACTGACACACACTCATTGTCAGTTCGATCTGAATTTTAATTTGTCTCAATTCCAGCTTTCGGAATTCACTTTTGATACACACAACATATCTATGTCTGTTAACGATGCGTATGTATTGCAAACATTTCCTACTTCTACCTCATTTTATGTGTATTAAAACATCCCTTCTTTCACATGCTTTCAATGAACACACATTCCTACCCCACTCAAAATGATTATTTACGATACATCATCAACTACGTATTAATCACTTACCTCATTTTATCGAATTCCATCTGTATCATGTACCTGTGCATATATCATGAACACGAAATGAAAGATGACTTTATTTTTAATGGAAGATAGAGAAATTTTCTTAGAACATGACAATATGCACTCAAAAATCAGTTACCGAGCAATAGACGAGTGAAATGAGCAATGATACTGGAAATCGGACTACAAAAATGACCAATGAATATGGAACAGAAACACCATAAAACAACACATAAATGAAATGAGACCGTAGCCGATAATGGTCTCGCGTTACTGCATTTAATTGTTGCAGAAAATGAAAGAAAACACAATGATACAGATTGAAAATTTACAAAATATAACGACCTGCAAACCACTACACATGTTTTTGTACTTACTGAGTTGTTACCTCAGATCTCTGCTTTACAGGAATTACGAACTACGAGAGGATCTTTTGCGTTACCGAAATCATATCCCAGATTTGAATGAAAAGAATATACGAAGCAGAATACTTATGCATGAATTAGTAACGAATGCGTTTTAAAAATTATCGCGATAGAAGACTGGTAATGAATTGATTGAAAATTAAACAAGAATAAAACAACAAAACAAAGTAAACGAATAATGCGCAACTTCACGTTCAATTTAGTTTTTGACAAAACTTTAATCCATACAAACCAACTGATAACCTATTAGAATTGCACAATTGAAACTCAAGTTACTGTAATTAAAATTAAACAAATACAACAACTTCCAAACTACTTTCTGTCAGACAAGCCGATTTGAATTTAAAAATTTTATCCAATTTGACGTGTATACCGAAGAATATAAACGATTATAAGAAGATATTCATTTTTCAAATGCAAAAGTCTTGCAAAATTTCTCACTTTTTTAATAACACAAATAATATTCCAGTGCAAATCAATTCTTCGCATCGAGAGTCAAAACGTTAGCTTCTAAGCATCACCCAATGCTTCCATAGGAGTTTTACTCGAAAGATGAAATAGGAACAGAATTCATCTCGGAACCATTCATCGGAAAGTTGGAAACGAAAAAATTCATCGGAAACATTCAATCGATTATTGAAACGATCGCTTATCATGCTCAATTAAAATTAAACAAGAAACTGAATTGAACGTGGAGTAGACACCGTGATGAAACAAAATAAATTCGAAACCCGTCAGTTTGCTGGAGCAGAAGGATGAGTTTGACTATGAATTAGTCGAGTTCACTAGAGGAATTCGTATTTCGTTTCGATTGAATAAACGAAGATGACAGCAGTGACAATAAAATGTGGTGTAAGTTTTTAAAGCAAAACAAAGAACATTTTGTTGCTCACCAAAATTGAGGGTCTTCATAGGCAGTGTTAATGATATACCCGTTAACATTGATCTGCAACGGAACAATACATTATAAAACGATAATTGTACAGCTAAGTTCTACTGAAAATATTCAACAAAAAAAACTGAATACCAAAAAATCGTTTCATTCAATCACAACATTTCACAAATTATTGTATACAGTCAGGAAATTGAAAAAAAANAAAAAAAAGAAGCTGAAATATACTTCAAATTCACCTCATACAAGTGAAAATGTAAAATTCAAGTAAATCGCTGTTAATAAAGCATAGAGAAACGAATGTGAATATCGTGAACCAGTGAGAAAAATAACCGTCATGATGAAAATATTGATAAAAACTTGAAATATGAAAACACAGTAAACGCATTAAAAACTTTTACATAAGATTGCTTCCTGAGATGAACACTGTTTCAATAAAGGATGGCATTACATCATAATACGAATACGGCGTGATCAACGAATGAATATTTATCTACAACCTATGTTGCTAGCAATAATTACAATTCCAATTAGTCCAATAACAACAAGGAAACTATCCAGTTGGTTATGTAGGCAAAGCGGATGGCAAAGTCGGAAACTCTGTTGGATCCCTCCATAAACCTCTACAATTTGGACATGTACTATCACTTTTCACCCAGATGAGAACACACTGAAATACATAAAAAGATCAAATAGTTTTACTAAGCAAAATTTATTAATAACAACCACAACAATAATAATAGATTCCACAGAAAAGCACAAAACTTGCATTAATTCTCGAAGGATTGATCGTCGAAGTCATTTATAAACACAAAATAAACGTATTAAAAACAAACGATGTCATTTATAAAAACAAAATAAGAGCAAACGATATGTGCACATACCTCTTTGTGATAAGGTTCATTACAACCAGAGTTTGGACACTTTAACATTTTTTCACCAACGGTCATTGCATTTAAACAGATTTTACATTCGTGATGATCAACACTAACCGGTCTCTACAACATCCGTACGCACAAATTAAACAGGTAACTTATGATACCCAAACAAGCACAAAACAATCTCGTTCGATTCTTGCTTAATTGCTAGATTTGATTTGTCCAATCTAGATGAACTGAATTACACAAACCTTCCGGCTATATATTTAAAGATTTGAATATTACTACTATTAGTTTTTGCAATAATCCGAAATTAAATAACATACATTACATTCAACATGCGACGACGAAGTTGTCGCCCATGGAGCTTTAGAACTGCTACTTTCAGCCTGAATACATGGTGCGACCTAAAAAGAAGCGAATAACAAATTTGACATAAGTATACGTCATTCCATTTAGATCATATTCCAGAAATAATTGGACATGTACTTTTTCTACAACAAAACAAGAACATGTTACATAAATACATACTTGAATACTCTTTCTACACAGAATGCTCAAACAATGCAGTAATGAAAGCAGATATGAGTTATATTGAGACGAAAGAGTCATTTCAGATTAAAGAATTTACAAACATGAGTTTTGATGCGATTGTCACTAAATGCGCTTGATTTCGAAACTTTGCGTTGTCCTATAGCACCGAAAAGACCACCACGACATAAATCGCTTCCGAGGCTTGGTGATAATGCAGTAGATGCATTCTGCTGCAATTATTCACTTCTTTTTCCAACAATGATATATCATTAGGTGATGAGATGGTGATCACGATTAATTAATGGTACACAATAGTTAACGATAAGATATATTTTTATTAAAAATCCACGCTGTCACTTTGAAAATCGATTACTTAGGATTCAAAGTATCCTTAGCGAGTCTTTCATTCATTTTGAACTGTCTACTTCTCGTATAATTCTCTTCGAAAGAGTGTTCATAGTCGCGATCTATCAAAGCGTTCTTTGAATGCTGATGAATAAAAGAGTTGATGAATTTGAAAAGACACAAGAAGCGAACGATAGGTTTGAAAACAAAAAACAATTCACCGATGATGCAGCAGCACAATCACTTGCGTCTTCAGTATTGCCATTCCTTGGAATAAAATTTGGGAATGTCAAATTCGAAGAGCTCAACCAGTCAATTAGACTAGACGGTAACGATGGAGCACTAGGAATATGATTTGGTGGCTGAAAGCCATCATCTAAGAATGCTAAATTATTGATGGAAATAGGGAAAGGATAGAAACAAATGCATTCGAAAAAGTCGAGACGTTCATCGTTGTGCTTTAGTGAGCAATGAACAGAAATCAACTCAAAGAATGCAATAAAATAAATGGTTCAAAAAAACGACAAGAAAAATCAAAACAAACTTACTGTCAACAAAGGTAATTCGTCAAAATCCTTATCTTCGTCAATTAATACCTTTTGTGCACCAGCCAACTTCTGAAATCAACACTGGACCTACTCTAGCAGCTGTTTAGATTCGCTATAGCCATTTTATGCTCTAAAGTTATTTATTCATATTGCTAAACATTCTTCAAATCATCACATAAATCCTGTCTTCTAATCATCTTATTACAGTTTCATTACTATTTAATATTACGCCGTGTATAAATAAGCAATTTTAATAAAACACGACAACATGAGAAAACACAATTTTAATAAAATAACATGAACAAACAACATTATTATCTTTTTGATAATAAATTATTTTTAACTGCCCGGTAAATGTCATGAGATAATTAACAGTACATCACTGATGAAATACATCTATCATAACTATTACTACGGCAATATGAAAGAATCAAAAAAGCATCCAAGACTAACATCTAAATTTGTCAACCACTCCTCGTAATCAACACCAATTTGTTTCCATTGATTCATTACCTGTTCAATATCTTTTTTCACTTCGCTTGAAGCACACCTTAAATGTAGCAACTTTGAAACAATATTGTGGCTGCTAACTAACAATTCCATTATTTTACAACAATTTTATAACATAAACAACAACGCTATTTGTAAAGTTAGTGATGTACTTCAATAGTTAGTGATGTATTTCAATACGAAACATGAAGTAAGAACAATGATAATACTGATAATCATTAATAGTATTACCATAATGTGATAGCAACAACAATGCAAATCACATCAAGATGAACGAGAATAATACGAATCACACAAAAAACTAAATGAATAAATTATTTTCTACCCAAACCTGAATGAATAATTTCGCTCACCTATTATACAGAATATTAGCATGAGCAAAACCACTTTTTGCTTGTTCAATACGTCGTATCGCTAAACTCTTTGCTTTTCCCAGTCGTAATTCCAATAACTCCTTCTATAAACAACTAAATGAAATGAACAATTCAAACTAATCGAAATGACACGTCAATGTTATTAGTCATAGCAAAAATAATGACAAAAACAACACAAAAGACAACACTGACACCAATAAATATCAGCAACAGCATACTTACATACGCTTTCTTCAAACGACTATGATCTGCTACCAACAATCGTTTATAGGCCGCATTTTCATTACGGATCTCACTTAACTCACGTTCCACAATCTTTTCACGTTCGAACGATAAACATGTTTGATCAGACCTATTCAGTTACTTATATTAGTTGACAAAATTCATATAATAACAATAGCAATGCGCACAATTACTATAGGAACTCTTCAAAATCTGTCCTGTCTGGTTTGTAGTGTATATTACTTCTAGATATTTACTTGAAACTAACACAAAAGTTAATCATCACAAGACACAACCGATACCTATTATAATATATTTTTAAGATAAACTTCAGCTAATGAATCAATTGCATGCTTATAAGCTCATATTTGCACTATTTCAATCACTTCACTGTGAAAACGTCACAAATGGATAATTGTTTTCGAGCAATTGATGAAATTAAAGAATGAATATACACACTATCAGTTTCGATCTGAATTAAATTTTGACCAAAATCTCATTTTTGAAAAATCCATGGAGTAATGCAAATGATTTAATCAACAAATAATAAATTAATTGATCCCAATTAGTGATATAACGATTCTAATATATAATGACCGCAAATCAAAACAAAATCACTCAGCATGAAACCAGACAATGAAAATTCATTATTGAAAATATTGAATTAATACTCACCCGCTTTGCATAAGATGATGGTTTCTATGATATTTTGCCCTATTTTCCATATCTATTAACCGCTTCTCAAGTATTTCCTTTTCGACTATTATTTTGTTTGTCTCAACTATGAGTGCCTAAAAAATTTTCACATTCATGAGATGAACAAAACTCTTCAAAATGTAAGATCTAACAAGCAATTACAGATACGATTAAACGATTAAAAAGGTTGATGCAGAAAATAATCAACGAAGTCCAATACATAAAACTTGAATTTTATTATACATCACTTACGGCTGCTTGCTCCTTCATTCGAGTGAATTCTTTATCGCGTTCCTCCAATTGTTGCTTCAAATGTTGCTATAAGAACAGAGATTTATTCGAATAGAATGGATGTATTCTACGATACTAAATGAAGACACGATCATCATACAACATCGAGCCGATACACGAAGTCATATATGCTGATCGTTTTAAAAGTAAATTGATAGAAATGGAACACAACTCACAACCAGAATATCTTTGAAAGGAGCAACGCTTCGAATGACATCATGCTCTAACGACTCCCCACTCCACACATCATAATTCACCATGGACCTTTGAAAAATACTGTGAATCAATTTTTGAACAAAATAATAATTCTGAATGAATCATTTGACACTAAATATGAATCTACTCAAGACAGTACAGACATTAATACAGACAAAATCATAGCAAAAATATTAACCATATCACCCTCATTTTCCGAATTCTTACTAGGAAAAATGAATCGGCAGTGATACAAAAATAATTCATGGGACCATTTTTCACATAAAACACACACTCGTTTTAGCATTATAACATACTTTCCTTATTCATAAGGCTACCTTATATCCTACCTAGCTATGACATAAAATACAACCAGATAGCACCATTCAACGGCCCATAATTCACGGACAAATGCAAAAAAAGAATCAACCACAGTCAACAAGTCAGCCTAAACTCTAAAAACAAACTTATTTCCATCTGATGAAGGCGTTGCATTTGAATGTGGCGAGGAAGTCATTCTATTAGCTTTTTGGCTCAATGGGGAATAAACTGATGCACTATTCATTGGAATACCATGAAATTGTAAGTCTGAATTTTCATTATCCATTTTATTCATTTGATCAGCATAGCCAATATCAGAGGAACCTGTTAAAAGTAGATTTTCGAATATATTCCTTTTCTTTATTAGACTCTCCGAATCGTTCTTCTGAAATTGAACAAAATTATATCAATACAACGTAAGCTTTTCATATATGGTTTTTGTTCCATTAACATTTGCATATGATCATTCTTTTGTTTCAATAAATAGAAATTCGGATTACCTTCAGACAAAACAATCGCAATTTCAGTAAAATAACAACGGAAACAGTAATTTCATATGGTAAAAGAAAGTAAAGACCGCAACATTTTTTGCGACGGCCCCCAGTCAAACGCTCTGTCGGTGGCCACCGACATGCAAATTTTGTGTATCGGTCAGTTTTAATTGGTAGTGATCGAAGTTCGGTTTGTCGAGGCCACTGATCGAACAGTACCTCTCGGTTGCGGTCGGAATCACCGATTTTCGGAGGCCCCCGAGTTACCAGCTGCCACCGATAATAAGATTCCTTCAGTAGCATCAAAAATCAAATTTGTCCGATCCCGTTCAATGGGGACCATTTTTATCAGGTCAAAGTATGGAGATCTGCCTGCATCATTGTTCTTAATTACGCCAGCGAATGCGCTATAATCGCAGCTTCAATCTAAGCCGAAATAAAAGTTTGTTAAACTATTAGTTATAATGCAGTATATCAAAAACATCCTGTAAGAATATATTGCGTTGGATTAGATTACCCGTCAGTAAAACTGGTGAAGACGTTCACGTGCAAGCTGCACAAACTCCAACTTCTTCTTATAGGAGACACTTCATAATTATTGACGAGGAATAGTCATACATAGAAATGGAGCCTGCCTAATAAATTAGGAACACATGGAGCAAAAACACGACCAATTTCGAACTCTTCCCGCTATTACAAAACTGCAAAACCTTGTGAAAGTCCCCATAACCCTCATTTGCAAATAAATCTCCAACATTCACCCCTATAGACCAAAACAGAAACAGACATAACATCCGCAGGAAACTGTAACATAGCCCAATCTCACCGATTTTCGAGGGTCCCCGAAGTTCAGGGACCACTGGAATTCAGAGGCCCCCCATTCAACTCTAGTCTAAGAAAACGATGAAGTTATTTTGAAAACAATAACTCAAACGTGTTTCACATCAAGTGAAAAAGAAACAAGAACACGAGTCCACAAAAAAAAGCAATGCATCACACAGTAGTCACTGAAATTATACTGCATAGCATCGTCATTCTCACTAAAGGTCCATCATGAATGAGTGTTAAAATGAAAGTTCATTAGTAAAGAGGAAGAAAATATTTGTTGATGAATTGTGTAACGCATATGTGTATAATACATATTGATATACATAAGTACGTAAAGAATAAAGGTATTTGTTAATGGAAAGTCAATCTGTAAGGAAATGCACGGCAAATCAAGGTGATATATGGTTGCTAGGTAACAAGCTTAAACGTATAACTAATGAATTTGAATTTACTAACTCTGTCAAATAATTGTATCATGACTTACAACATTTTCGACTGTAATTTTGAACGACTATGGTAAAAGTCGATATATTCGTGTAATTAAGAAGTAATAATGCGATTATTCATAAAGAATCAAGCAAACGATTAATGATAAGAGTATTGAAAGCGATGAATCAAGCAAACGAATGATAATGATAAGAGTAATAAAAAAGGTGAAGTTTTAATATCAAAAGATAAAGCTTCATACATAAAGTTCTTTCTCGCACCTTTTAAAATGTGGCCGATCATAACAATGAAATCAAATTTGATATTAAACCATAGAAACATCAAAAATTAAGCTTTTTCAAACGCAATTAACGACATAATATCGAACATCAATAACTAACGTTACAAATTTCAGATAACGAAACCATGTATAACGTCGAAGATTTCAGACTTAAAAAGGCCGATCTTAACAGCACCATTTTCATTTATTTATTTCATTAGATATTTTCAATAAAAAATAAAAAAACAGTATTTTGAGGGGAGACGTTTGTTTGCTAAGAGATAAAATATCCTCCTTCCAATGTTGGAAGGTCAGATAAACAAATTGGAATTAAACTGGTACTTACTTTAGATGTGAGAATCACCTGAGTACCACTAAAGGCGATATCGAATAATTCAGAACGTTCGATTAACTGCAGAAGATAGCCATCATTTATGAGTTCATTCAAAACTTTTTCTTCATCGTCACATATTTCAGTCATTGATAAAAATTCTTTTAGTTGTTCCAGATTGCTCACATTACTTCCAATATTGAGTAAAAATTCACTAAAAACAAAAATCGAATATCAAAACAGTAGTTCATAACAAAACAATGTTTTGTACCAGAATACAAATCATCAAATTTATTGAAACATCGCACTCTTCTCATATTCCACTGATTTGTTTTCGATAGAATCGCACAAAACCGATAATAATAAATGACGAAAACAAACCGAAAGATATTTTTCATTAGCGGTAATATTTCATCGAGTTTTTGCTGATCTGCTAAAGTGCTTACGGTACGTGGAAATTTATCCGTACTATAATCCATAACTGATGTTATGTGATTGCCATCGCAATGATTACCATCATCTGCTTGGCCATTATTACTGCAAGTACTAGAACTATTACTATTACTCCGGCTCACGTTAGCATTCGCAAAAAACATTTGCTTGTTATCACAACTCTTGAAGTACTTTATTAATGTCAGCGAAAGAACAGAATTAATCTTTGAAAATCTTTAAAAAGGAATTAAAAATATAACGAACACGTAGGAACAATCGATCCGAGTCAAGCCATTCTTGTTATGAACTGGAAATTCAATACTCAGTGGTCGAGATCTTGTTTTTTTAACCCGTTTCTTCACATTATTCACAACTGCATTCTTTTCATCGTTAATACCATATTTAGTACTTAGATCGTCCGCCTTTTTCACGGGTACTACTTAAAACATATAAAGGAGGAACAATAAATCTATTTTATTTACTGCGAAAGAATGAAACTTATAACTGGTACAATAACTTTACCACAAATAACTGATAAAGAGTTAATAATCAGTGTAGCTGTTATTACGTCGAATAATAACTTCACTGATATATTTATGACTCCTGACCTGAATTAATAACTTCCGTTCTAAACTTATTAAAAACGAATAAATTCAAATAAATTCAAAAGTGTTTCCACCGAACGGAAAGGAATAAAAAATAATGTGACAAACATACCACACAAATTATCTTTTGGTGGTAGCGATAACTGACGACCACTGTTCGAACACATTTCACGGTTAATAAATATGAACGATATCCCCGTAAGAACGTTATGATTTGAGAAGATTAAAAATAGAAAAGTCGACTGCAAACACTTGAATGGTAATCTTCCACTCTAGATTTATCAAAAAAATTGAAACAATAATAGGAACTATGGAATTGCCGATTCCGGACCAAGATTTGCCAGGACACACCAAAATTTGCCAGGCTGGGCCAAAACTCGGCGAATTTTTGGTCAGACCTTGCCCAGTAAATCTTGGCTCAGCCCGGCCTGGCAGACCGATACCAGCAATTCCATACTCCCACAATTATAACTATATGTAAGCGAGAACGGAGAAATCCAGTAGAATGAGCAGAGAACGATCGATAAAATTTAATAAAATAATTACTGAAAATAACGCGAAGGATTACGAAAACTAAACATTCGTGCAAACATAGGATTTTCAACTAGAGGCCGACACTCTAGCGGTCGGTCTTAACACTTCGGCAAACTTCTCTGACACTACCCCAAACTCCGTCGACTTTGTAGCAAATTTCTCCAGTGTTGTGTTACACTTCTCAAACGCAGAATTTAATTTCCTGGCTGCATACTAAGCAGCTTGTAAAAAGAACTAAACTTTGCATGCATAATAGGCACACATTTTTTAAAACGCTAAGCAGTGCTGATTAGTAATTTATTGTTTTTCATACCAACGACACATTTTCACAAAACTTTGGGACTCATTAACAACAAAATCTTATGAGCGCATGCAAACAGTGATTCATGTACAAAAAAGAAACCTATTTATTTTTTATCATTTTTGTGGAAATGCGGTCCGTGATTAGAAATAAAATATAAAATTGAACAGTTACACATAAAAGAGAGGACAAGGAAACATATAACGCAAACAGCACACAAGCAGAAGAAAGGGTAAAAAAAGTGATGCTGTATGTGTTTATGGCAACAAACGACAGTAGGTTTAGAATCTGGTATGACATATATCCGGGTCTAGGACAAGTCCGTACGCGACGAATCCGTACGACGTCATTCTACAACGTCTAGTCAGTCAGGAAACTTCGTTTCGGTTCGATTTTTGAGCAATGCATACGCATATTCACCATTGCGTGTTTGTATTATAAAACGCGCATTGCTCGATATATTACGCTTTCTTTATTCATCATGAGTAGAATCGCTCCTGCAAACAACCGCCTGAACTGTAGTACCTTGGAGCATACCTAGGGTTGTGTTCCTTGATGAACCGCAACAGAACGCGGTACATTAGTAATGTTCCCATTAATTAAGATATGGAAAAAGCTGTCACTAATACTGCAGTTCATAATGCGAGTTACGACTAAGAGCTCAGTTGATTTTCTGCGGTGTGAGTGAATACATCAGATAGAAAAATTCATTTCTTTTTCACTCTGTAGAAACCCATCCGTATAAAAAAGTCCACAATTAATATCAAAACACAAATCAAATATTTGAACCAATGATGCGAAACAATAAAAACTTTTGAATAAAACAGATCAATTAATAAAATCATTATGCTTGAGATCATACAATAATAAAATTATAATGCTTGAGATGCGTGAGGTGAATAATAAAATCATAATGAAATGCACAAGACCGTGGAAATTCAACAACTTTGGTGAAACAACAACAAAAGATTCAGGGAAAAAGTTGAGGGAGCCAAGAACTTCAGCACGTTTGAAATGGGCAACTTCACAACGGGCAACCTCATGTACCGTCATCTTTAACCGAATCGAAAATCACAGAAATGATCCAAGCTCAGCCTGAAAAAAAAGAACCATTTCCTCATCCGCTGAGGTGGAGAATGACAAGACGTAAACTGACATACATCGACAATTCGAAATGAATACTCACAATTAGCCTAATATTGTTTCATCTCATAAATGCCCACATTTGGCAATCTTTTTGTTCAGATTAGAAATATCATAAGGTGGTGATCTCGTAGTTAACGTGTTCAATGAAAGTGGTCGGCTTATTCACCAATCTCAAGCAAAGTTTAAGCCCTGCATTCAACTGCGGCTCACCACGGGGCTAAGCCTCAGATTTACTGTGTTATCCATCCCAGCAAACAACGAAGCTGAATCTACAGGAATGAAGTTCGTCCAACGTTCAGGCGGTTGCTTGCAGCACGGATCACTTTCACAGAAACAGTTAACCGCAAGATTATCAATGATGTTGTAAAAAAAGAACACTCGTTTGCAATTCTCGTTAACGAGAGCTCCTTCGAAGCCCCAAGCCACCCTATCAAAACAACTGCCAATAGGAATATCATCAATAATCTTCAAATACTCAATTAAGTTCATTGACTGCTACTATCAGAACGTGCTAGGCGTAAACCATGATAAATATTCTTCAAATACATCACATAGTCCGTATTTCCTAATACTAGCACACAATGGTGAGCATGCGTATGCATCGCTCAAAAGTCGAACCCAAACGAAGTTTCCTGACCTTTCCAAATGACGTAGTTCGGAGTCGTCGCGGACGGATTTGTCGCTCAGCCCATAAATCAAAACCGATCAGAAATAAATGAGCAAATAAACACATGACGAGCGAAAAAACAATTAATACACACAACACATACAAGTAACCAACGCAATTTCAAATTTCATTTTAGAAGTTTTCATATCAAAAAGAAATGCATGCATAAACATTCAAATATGACCGGTGAAGAAAAGAAAAAAGACGTCATCAGAATATCGTCTTGACAATTTCGTTCAGGTGATGATCGAAAATTGAAGTAACTTTTAATATTGCGGTCAATACATGCTCAAAAAACGAAAATTTGTTTCCCTTTGATTAATACCCCAAACATCAGGATAGCTCAGATACGTATAGATATTTTTTGATGAGCATATGAAGATTTTGTGAGGTTTACGTGATACCACTCATTTTAGCATCTCTTCGGTATTTCGAACACTTCCAGGTATTCAATGATGCAACTGCTTATTCAATCGTATCGAGATGGCGTTAACATTTCTTAATATGCTAATAAACAACTGGCTGACTTTACAACTTAACTTTGTAAATACAGCGAACTGATCCATACGATAGCTACCCCGCAAGCGGTAACACGCTTAAAAAACTGTCTGGCAGGTTCTTCACCCACCTTCATCGCGGAACTTCTTCCTTTCCCATGTGAGGGTTGCAGTTTGAAATCCGCAAACGTCTGGATTAAATGTCCAATTTGATATCACTAAACTTGATTACAGACAACGAGTGTATCAAGTGGCGAAGTGACGTTAGCGGCTGGTTCGTGCTATCTAATAAATTGTGTACGTGTGATTTCATTTTCCAACGAGGTTCGTTTTGAGCATTCCGGTTATTGTTAGCTTCGGGAGTGATTTGAACTTGTTTAGAAGTGAATGAAATTGTGGAGTTGCGCCAGATTCGCAGATTTTCGGGCAATGATAGTAATAATAGGAATATGAATAGAAATAGAAGTAATCATAATAATGGTACTTTGAGTGACCAGAGTGATACGTAGAAAAATGATTTTGCGGAACGTTTCGGCACAATACGTTAACTTTAACCGTGCGAGCCGATTGAAGCCGACGCATTACGTCCAGACGTTTTATAAAATCACTTTTCTACGCATTAGTTTGATCACTCAAGATACCGTTATTACTACCATTATTTTATCGCTATTTCTATTTCTGTTCTTATTCTTGTTATTGTTTACAGTCATTTTAATGTGAATAAAATCCGTAGTTCTAGGTATTTTATCGGTGTTAAGACCCGTGTCACTTCAAATTGGATGCTGTCGCTTGCAGGAGGATTCGTATGATTCATTCAAATTATACTGCAGGCAACGCACCGCATTTCTGAGTCGAAAGTATGCGCGTTGCACTTCGATTGCTCAGACCGGCTGCCAATCAGAATATCGCAACACCGAAACTATGGCAAGATCCGGTCTTTGGTTACTTCGAAACGCATGGCAAAACAAAATTCTTAGCCGGTGAAGAATACAATCTAACCGATGAACAAAAAAAGGTCACCGGATTGTTTCTTTTGTCGGAAATAACTTTTACTTGTGAATGAACGAATGAAAGTCGACCGTTCCAGGCAGTTCTTTGGCGATATCGAGTGAAAGAAATTTTAAAGAAGGAATATCTGAGACGAGAATTCGATCCTCACAAATTCAAATACAAGGTAATTATATTTTGTTCGAGGGTATTCCCTACCTCAGAAACTTTTGCATCTTCTCTTTTCATATTTCTCAATATTATAAATTACGACAAACATTTTATTGAAAGTTTTTGCATATATGGTTTATAGCAGTTCTTCATTTAATCACTGCTTTTTAATGAGAATATCCTAACACATCCGTTTATCTCATTTCTGGACCCTCGAACGGTGATTGCTTGTATAAGAGCACGATTCTGCTCTATCTCCACCATCGAGGTGTTTTCGCTTGATTATGAAAGAAACCATCCATCATGAGGAAGTTTGAAAGGAATTATTGAATTCTTGGATCACTCAATGTATGAAGCGGCTCTGTGAGTTAGGTTCAGCTCATCTACCTTTTTTTGGCATACCGCATTTGACGGCGGGTCACATAAATTTGTGCATAGAGTAATTTTGGCTATCAGGTAGGAAAAGCTACCGAACGAACCAAAAATGAGAGGATGGTGTGCACTATAATTCCGTAAAGTTGCAATCTGTCTAGAGAGAACTTGAATATTGCGAACTGGGAACAGTGTAGTACAAACCTACGTGGGATGATCATATTAGTACTGAACAAGTGTATCTTCCAGGCAGGTGTGGTGATTGATCCGGCAATGTTCCGCTGGTATTCCGCTGATATGACACAAGCAGAATTCTTCCGCTTCACTCCCAGATCAGTCTTCTTGTACTGTGGTGGAGTGTTCCTCTTCTTCTATCTGTATTGCCGCCTTATGTATTCGTCAGTGGTGAGTAACACATTGCTTTCTCCATATGCATTATCATGAACTTAAGTTGTGTTTTTGAGTGCTGTTTGCTGCTTTTGGCGAACGCTTGGCTCATAATTAGCTGCAGTATTGGGATAAGCTAGCAGTCATTCGGTTCAGAGAGGTTTGGTGCCCCTCAAAATGAAAGACGTTCATATAGTCTATAGCTGTTTAAGTCAATAGGAATTTTTGAAAATTGCTGTTGTCAAATCCGCATGTATTTTGTCGTGGTTGGTCGTCAAATAATACTCACAATGATGCCAATAGTGATACAGGTAATAATCCTAATAATTGTTTAAATGTTCAGGAGAAATCAGCTGAGAAATGTATTGACGGTGAATTGTTGTGGTGGGACAGGCAACAAGGTCGTACACTCACCACATGTGGCAGTGGTCATTTCGCACCAACTATTGGGATCGATTTCTGAATATATTTTCGTAATAATCATTTTCATTTCATAACTGTTCATTTTAGGGGTTCATAAAAAATAAATTATCGATTATATTTTGTTTTGGTTGATATTTGTTTTCTTGTCATCATCTTAGTTCTGCTTTTTGATTACACGTGTATATCCGTATAAATAGTTTCGTCGGATATTCTGTTCATGCTCAGTATGGATGAATTCTTCGAAAAAACAAATCATACACATCGATTTTCGTTGCCGAACATCTTAAGAATCAGATTCAACTGTTTTAGTTCATATGTGTACGCAGAAGTGGAGCGGTGCACGTATCCATGAGAGAATGGGCGGTGAGTCCCATAATGCGACAATTTCTACGTGAATATTCATCGGTGCAAACGCGAAGCCATGGAAATGGAGGGGGGAGGGGAAGGAAAATAGAGGGGGCAAGACAGTCGTGGCTTACATCAGATGTGTTTTCATGTAGTGATGCAAAAACATTTTGATATTGTCGTCGACAAAAGTTTATCGACTTTAACTAAATTTCTTTATTGTCATGCGTAGAAGTAAAGTTAAGTGTTACCGATTGTCAATGAATTCAGTAAGAACTGCGATAAGATGTAAAAAGTACCTCTGAAGTCGTTCGCTTAACATATTGACTGTTTTTTATTTGAGGCATTTCCAATGTTTTTTATTAGGCGGTTAAGAGTTGTGTTTCTTCTTTCCAAACGTTCCTCTGAATTTCCAGTCTCGTTTCCGTGATCAGACTTCTTTCTTGTCACAACTTTAAGGCTTTTTAGTTTTTCCAGAGCGTATTAATTTTTTCTTGCTTGCTTATGTACGGTCGGGAATTGGGCTCAGAGTCTTCGAGGCTTCTATTCAGAATCTTCAGTGATCGACTTCAAAAGCATCTTCTAAATTTTTGACGTACTGTTGAACGTTGATATAAAAGTGTTCAACTTCCATTCAACTGCTTAAAAATGCTTTCTTTTGCTTACATGGCATCAGCTGTCTTCATAAAAGATGCGAAGAACTGCGATAAGATGTAAAAAGTACCTCTGAAGTTGTTCTCTCACCAGAAAATCGTGATTACTCGTGTGGCTGCAATGGCACATTGCAAGATACATTTTTGACAGTCGTTTGCATATATATGCGCAGCATTTGTATGAAGTAAGGGTAATGTAACAAGTACATACATATAACCCACATGCAATTATGCTGCTGGCATGTGTTGAAAGCAGCGTATCTAGTAGGGTGCATCAACCTACTTACTGAGACCAAGTTGAATTTATTATGGGTACATTGAAATGTTGTATGACCGTAACTTTCGTGTGAACCAATTCCTTTGCATAGTTAGTAAAAAAACAGCGGTAAAAGAACGTAGTATAGTTAAAAGTGTCAAAAAATGAAAATAACGTCACATTTGGCTATTATTTAAGTCAGATTCGACAATAACCACACATAAAAATTACCAGCTGTTCTCGATCTAATGGAAGGGAATCAATCCTCATAGGATAATCAGAATGCGAATTTAAGATGGAAAACTCAATGATATTGTTTTTTGAAGCAACTTCTATCAAATTTTTATTGTATCGAATCTGAATTATAATTCGGATTTATATTGCGCATTGTGTTGAACACTTTCATCCGTAGGGAAAAGTTTGGGTCCATATATTGGCGCCTTCAGAAGATCTTTCAGCGGAATCGACTCGTCCGGTATCGCTCTACATAAAGTTCTTCGCAGTTCTACGGGCATCTGTTCTTCGCAAAGCTGTCGTAAGCAGTGCATTATATCAGGTGTTTCATTGGGTTTGCACCAGCCCATTTCCTCAAATAATAAAAATCAAAAACAACCTTTAATAAGCCAAACTGCATGCGCCAATGATGAAACTTTTTCAATGTATCAAAATATCAAGATGTGAGCATTAGATGAATTACGTACTTGTTGTATCCATTCAAAGTAACTATCTGAAAGTATGAATGAAGACCGAATGAACGGTAATTTTTCTATGAGAAAAGTATGAACGAAATGGTATCATCTTAAACGTTTACCAAAGAACAGAAATATTCAGGTTTGAGAATATTCTTAGCCGCATTCACTGCAAACATAAACGCCGAATTTGAGAAGGCAACGCACTGAAAATGTTTTTGTATCAATCGTTTATTAATGTATGAAATGCACTGTGTTAAAAATTGCAGTAAAGAAGCATATGAATAAAGGAACCAAATGAATATGAATGCAGAAAATAATTGAAAAGCTAAATAGCTTTATAGGAGTGTATAACAACTATAAAGTCGGCATTCTGCCCGTTGTGTACATTGCGGTCTAAAAATCATAAACATGAATCGTTCATATGAAAGTGAAAAATCATATTCATCGAGGATGAGCGTGAGATGAAGGCAGAACAAATTAACTTACCTCTGTATAGTTAACACCATGCGGGAAGAATCCGCCATCACTTGGTACATTTGGTGGGAACGATAAGCACATTTCGGCGCAGATGTTATGAATAAATGAAGAATCTAACCATTCGAGTGCTTTTCTAACCGCTACTTCACTTAGAAGGAATTGATGCTGAACGAACGGAAATTTAGTCGACAAACGATCATGCTTATGAAAATCGACATGGAATGCTGCATAGAAATGAAGCTATTTTATAATCTGTTGCAACCAGCGGTCAATATTTAATCTACAGTAGAGTAATACTGCAAGGTCTTGATATTCAACGATATTATGATAGAACATGCTGTGAGCTATCAAAGATGCATATTTGTTCTCGAGTGAAAATCTTAGGGTCAAAAATTATCCATACACCTCAACTGTTCAAGAATAGCTTGAATGGTGGTTTTCGAAAATCTATAAAATGAGTTCTGCAATAAAATGGAGTGAATTCGAAGAGCGAGAGAAAGTGAAAGTAAGTAGAAAAAGTGGGGAATGGAATAAAGTAGCACAGAAACTGCAGTTGTTTTGTTTGTTACCTGCAAGAATGTGAGGGTAGCCGTGCACATTGTACATTTCATACATTCAGTACCATTACTTGTAGTTGCAACTTGAAAATTAATTTTAAAAATTACTTCTGCGAGAGCGACTTCATTTCATAATTGAGCAAGCGTATCGTTTTATTCCAAAAGATCTAAAACAATGGTTCCCAACGTGGTTCTCTTGGGGTGTGAGGTAGTATTCCAGCGGGTGCGAGATGACATCTCATTTTTTATTCATGAAAGTAGGCAAGGGCGGATTTCAACGCGTATATGTGTGTAAAGTAAACGAGGATGGACTTTAACGTAAATATTTTTGAAAAGACTAGAATGTACTTATCCACTGTAGTGGATGAGAGATACAGGTTGGATGTAGTGAGGGATGCGAGAATACTTCAACTATTGTTGTACGGGGTGCGAGGATATCAAAAATTTTTTGCGGGATGCAGTCGAAGGAAAAGTTTGGGAACCACTGATCTAAGAGAATTACTGTTTTCATCCAAAAATCATTGCATGTATCAATTATTCGAAGGGTTCTGAATAGGATTGTTGATGCTTGCAATGAGCATATGAAAGCGACTTACAAATTTAATATCTTAAAAAATTATGTAACCTTTGGTGGCATAATTTTCAAAACATGCTGGCATGAGAGCTGAACAAAATGCTTGCGTTCTAGGAAGATGTGCGAATAATATTCCATGCAAATGTTGTTCTTCTTCCTGAAATACTCTCCTCTAAACAGAAAGAAACACGATAATTTTATTAATCTATAGATGAATTTCATTAAAACGGATCAGTTTCTTACACATAATTGATGTTTTTTGGTACTTTTCATGATGCATTGAATCATAATGTGATTCGAGTAAGGCATATTATGTTTGAGAAAATATGCTGTTTTATTGAAAAGCGCATATGTATTCGGTGAAGACGTACGGTATGAATGAAGGGATTTGGTGTATAAACGAATCCCTCGAATCTTCGAACCATTTGTTCACAAATTGGACAAAATGGTGTTGCATAATTTGCTAAAAGAATAGACAAAATTCCCCATAATTGATCGTCGGTCACCGTATGAAATCCTTTGAATCTTGGACCGTTGCATATCACTTTATCGTCACTAATTTGATCCTGCAAAGTCGCTCACACTACTGCTAACATTTAATTATCAATCGTTTTAATTGAATGTTTGGTCTGAATTCATAAAATTGATCACATAAAAGCAAGGTATTGTCTCACTGTACTTTCTAAAAAAAGCTGAAAATGTAACCGATAAATGCTATGGCCTGATCGATGCAAACCCAATCATCCGGCAGAAATCATTTTAAAATGATAATCTGAGTGAATGCATGAGATACATGTTACGAATAATTTCATTGTTCCACTTCAAATTAAAAAAGAAAATTTTCGATTTCTTTACTGTTTAAGAATTGCGAAGGTGAGAGAAAAGAGGACGGCAAACTTCAAAAATTTTCATCCACATTAAGTATGGGTCTGCCTCAGCGTTAACGTTGAAAATGCTCGGAGGTGAGTTTCCATTGCTTGGAACGAATTTTCGCGATGTTTTTCCCATTTGTTTCACAAGTGATGGCGGTGGTAATGTTGGTTGTCTGAATAATCATAGTATGTTTTTATGTGTTTTTCTTGTCGTCATTATCATTTTTTGATTCAAATTTCAACTTTTTTCATTATTCAGTCTTTTTGTGATTAGCTCAACGAACTGCTATATAAGTTTGCATTAATTTCTTTATAGGATCACTGAATTCATTCTTCGTTTATGCATTTATTCATGAATTTTCCCATTTTTTAAAGGCATTTCGGCAGTGCAGTCAATCACATCTAATCAAACGATTCTTAATAAGTGCTTATTTTCTCGCTTCAGTTCGTTTTGCCCACCCTGATTCAGCGTTGAGTTTTATCTATTAGTAACAAGATTACTATTTCATGTGCTATCTTTTGCCACTTTCGCTTTGATCAATTAAATTATGGCATTATCACATTGCTGGAAAGTTTGAAACTTTCAGTGATGGTCGCATATAGGAACCAGTCAACGTAAATTGGATAGTAATGGATATGACTGTAACAATTATTGTTATGATAATAATAATAATAATAATAATAATAATAATAATAATAACAATAACGATTGAAATGACATTAATGATAAGAATTATTATAGACTAGTAATAATACTAATGATACCAGCAATAAAGATGATTACTCTAACTAATCATGCATATGATTATATGCATAATATTAAGTATAAACGAAAAAAAAAACCAATGAGAAAGTAATAACGGTGGAAATATAGTAGTATTTGGTTGTGGGCATGCTGGTACTTCATCGCCAGTTATTGCGAAACGTTTACTGCTGTATTTTTTGGATGGAAGTTTTGCGTGGATGTGAGCGATATATGCTCGTTGTCGGGAATATTCTTCCTTAGCAAGTTCAATTTTAGTCGTTTGTAGAACACGACGTGCTTTATGCAATGCTGAATCACATTGTTGCACCTGAAAAACGATTAGTTCAATGCATTCAGTTCAAATTCATGGAACTTTATGAAAGATGAGTTCTGTGAAAAGATATTGTTTTGCATTCGAATGACTGCACTGTTTGCTCGTATACTCATCTCATATCAGTCTAAGTGAGTTGCTATCAATCAATGTCACATCACTAGCAAACTTTTGCATTCGTTTATCATTTTTGTTAACATCAACCTCATCATGGTGAAATGAAATAGACTATTCAGCTCTGATAATATCGGCTGCCAAAGAAATTAATGATAATCACTTTGTTGCTAATGAGGAAATTATCCAATAAAAACGTTAATGTTGATTTAATAAACTGTAAATATTGATTTAATAGCTCTCTAAGTTATAACTATCCAGCAATGTTCTTCGGAACATACCGTGAAAAACTGGCTGGCATGAGAAATCATGATAACAACATAGAAGTAGATGATGATGATCATTGTTTTAGTGATACGGGCAGAATGATGGAACTAGTGATGAAAATCTGATTCGATGACGACGAATGAACACCTCAAACTACAATAGATCAATATACTACTGGAATGTCGACTTTGAGAGGAAGTGGGCACTGTTCTTCGTGTGAGTAAATAATATCAAAACTTTTTAAGTTACCTGTTTTACACACTTATTTATAGATTAGTGATAAATTTCTAAGCCGGTAGAGTATAATGTCAACAATGGAGATATTTGAAAAAAAATCGAAAAGAGCCATAAACAGTTTGGTATTCATCGGGTTATAACGTCAGCGCTCCATTGCAAACATTTCGAAATGAAGTCGATATCAGTGTTATCAACGTTTTAATGACACGTCCTCTTATTTTAGACCATCACCGGGCAACAGATAACGATGCTTATTCTTGCGGCATCTTTAAGGAAAAACATTTAACAGTTAACATTTTCTATGCAGAACAATTCAATGAATGATGTTTCATCTTTAAGATAGAGGCGATACAATGAAATCATTTGCAGGTATTTATTGCTGAACTTTTGCATCAGCTTTCGAAAATTAGTCATTCTTTAAATGTTAGTAGCCACGTGTATCGTTCCACCGCGCGTTCTGTGCTGAGTGTATCGTAATTGCTTAAAACCGCCTCTGCAAAAATCATTTCTGAACGATCAAGCCAGATTTTAGCCATTTATAGAAGCTTAATAGACTGAATTGCCTAAAACTTGCCCAGGTGGCAAATCAGGTTTGGATTGCTGCTTGCATAGGCTTATTTCAAACTGATCTTGAGAAATAATGCTCTTATGTAGGCTATAAACAAATTGAGTTTGTTTGTTCTTGCAACTTGAATCACCTTCTTTTTTGAGTTGTTCAATAGCGCACATAAAAATAATAAGGAAACGTTGTTGTGATGGGATGATGAGATGAATCAGCCAGCATATTTGTTCGTTGTCGTCGTTACGTACGAACGTGGTTCGATTTATTACGCGCTGCACTGCATTCTTTGTTTCCTTCTCAGATTTTGTTTGGTATCGCGTTCAGATCACGCCATTGTTTTGCTTTGTTGTTACTTTACTAATTGGTCGTTCACCACCGAAATTCATTCAAAATTTGCATATTCCTTCCAGCCTTTTGATAATTTCACTCAAGCGGCAGTGATCATTCTTCAGTCAACCTTCATAAAGCTTATGAACTTCCGGATTATTTTTTCACTCTTTCATATTACCGTGTCAAGTTGAAATCATTAAGGAGTCATAATATTCTTCTAAAGTTGCTGTCTGCTTGCACAAAAGAATAGCTGATGATCTGTTTTCATTGCTATGT